AGTGGCGATTAAGTTAACTTTAATTAGCCTGAGCTAGAGGATCACCACTTAACCAATTTTTTAGACGTAGCCATATGTCGCCTTTCACGACTTTTTGGGGATGAAAAAGCGGTGAATGATGTAATGATTCAGCTTCGTCACGACATAGATAAAAATATAGGAGCATACCATATACATGTACCATATACTTTTACACTCACGGGCGGTCGTAAAGTATATCTTATGATTTCCATAACTTTGTTTATTTTACCCTGATAGGCCGGCAGCTTGCTAGCCACACCCAGTTTTATAAAAAAAAAATTTGTTATATTAGTTTAATATTTATACTTAACTAATACAAATATCCACATTATATTTACGCATCAATATTTAAAAAATTCTATGTTCATTTGTTTAAAATAATTATTGCGATAAACGGATTAGTGAGTGATTACTTACATGTAGGATACAGTTTCTCAATGATTAATGATTCGTCTGTTCGAACGCAGCGTTCTATTTTCAAACAAAACAGCAGCCGCGCTCCCATTGGTCGGTCGGGTTTTTTCAAAATGGCAGCCAAATTTCGTCTATAATTAATGATGGTGCGTCTCATGTAGATAACATGAGATTTTCAAGAGTTTAAGTGCGAGTATTTGCTACTGAAAGTTTTAAGTGGCCTGTATTCTTCATACACTAACTAGGTGTAGGTAGAGTTCGGTTTTTTCACGACTTTTTGTTTCAGATACTCAAAAGCCTCTGCTGTTTTACATCGTTCATAAGTATTTAGTTGATAACCGACCATGCACTTAGGTAGTGATTTTAACTATTATACATTACTATTAAGATTGACAATATAAGATTGAGTATATATCACAGAAGAAGGATAATTTTGACAACATAAAAAAAACTTATCAAAACCTGTCGATTTAAAGAAACACCGAAATCGGTTCATAGTTTGCAAAATACAACGTAACAAAACACGAAAAATAATGTAATTATTTTCAGAATAACCGTAATTAAAAGTAAGATTACATCTTTGCTTTGTCGTATGGTCCCGGTATAGAATGGATCACCCCTTCCTTTCCTGTGGGTATAATAAGAGGAGACTCACCAGAGGGAGACTTTGTACAAAAGTCGTTTGCTTGGGTACCTCTGTCCCATTCGAGTTTCAACCGTAAAGCAGTTGCGTTTACATGACTGTGTTTCGGTTTGAAGAGTGGGATATGGCGTGAATTTACAGGGTACAGAGGAATAACACCTGAGTCCTCAGGAATGGCAACGCATGGGGGGTATCATGGGCGAAACAGTATACACTGTTACGTCCATGGCACTGCTTATGTCTATAGGCGACGGTTACCACTTTCCATCAGGTGGGCCGTCAGCTTGTTTGCCATTCTAAGTAGGAAATAATTAGGCACTGAGGAATTCGATGATAATGCTATTAGTTCTATAAGACAGTTAAAAATTTTCATCAGAGAATTTAAGTATAAAATACAGTATTGTGTTAGGTATACCTGTTAGTTCTATAGTACCTATAGTATAAACCCGGTTCAGGTTTGGAAAAGATCAAGCTGGTGATATATCACGGGCTGTCTAGGACTAACGATTTATTGTTATCTATTTAATCAAATTAATTTTATTATTTGAAATGCGAATTGACGATGGAGATAAAGGATAGATAAAGTAAAAAAAATTATGGCAAGTTGATCGCTGAAGAATCGCTTTGGCCGAAATACGAGGAAGCCTATGTTCAGAAATCATCGATAGTTAATTTGAAGTAATGACGATAATGAATCAGTTTAAACTTGTGACGATTCATAATAAATATATGCATATGTTCTAAATACCGTTTACAATATCTTTGCTATTATATGAGTGAGGTACTTATTACATTTACATGTATTGTAGTATATATCGTATATCACAATATATAAACATAAGCACTAAGCAGAATATTTGAATCAAAATCTACTCTCTAATCTACAAGAATTATTACTTTCCGATAAAAACCGATACCTGTTATCTGGTATTATTGGAAGCATTTGAGAACTCTAGAATATAAAGCAGAGGCATAAGGATCTGACTTTGATTACTAAATTACTACGTTCACATATGACAGCAGTTGTCAATATCATATAATTTGGAACTAATACAGTAGTGGTAATTTTTCTTTTTATATTTATTTAGATATTAAATTAACCAGACCACAAGATAATATGCTGATATGTAATGAAATCAAAAATTGATTGTTAGATTGAAAGTTTCATTTGGTTACTAAATTCACTTACTACTTTACTCACTTTAGGGAATGTTTCTGTAATGATTTCAACAATACTTGGTTAGTTTTTCATTAATTTCTGTTATAACAGACTATAATTATTACTGAGCTAAAAGTTAGTTTATATTAACCGAATTCGTTCCTCATTACTACCCGAACATAAATCATTCGAATCCAACTATACGTATCGAAGTTCCGAATTAATTAACAGTTTCGGCCAACTCTAGCGTCTGGCCGGTCTGAGAGCTAAGTCAAAATTGGCACATCTTATCTGGCATCGGGCCGGCATCGGCAGATAAGGGTTATGACATGGGTTCATCGAGTCGCCAACTTATACGTAGTTGGACGTAGATTGGTTGAGCGACCTACGCGAATGTTGTACTGGTTACATAAAAAATATGCATCCTAATGTAGTATTTTATAAAATCCATTGTGTTCCAAGAAAAAATACTTCAATTGTGGCAAGTCCAGTTATTTTGATTTCAAAACTAAACTACTAAACCGATATTGATAAAATTTCTATAAAAGTAATCTATAAGTATATATTTTTAAATAAAAACACTGACGGAGTTTTGAGGTAACAAACACAAAAGAATACAGTTTAATTAAGAACCTTCTTCTTTCTGAAGTCATTTGAAAATTAAATAAGTATGCTCATAAATTAAATAAGTACTAACATGGGTAGTTAGAAGTGTTGCGTTTTAGTAGATTTAACACTTCCCCATCACATTGATTAGTATACTTAAAAGTAACGTTATATCCTTATTTTTTTGGTTCCAGAAGGTTTTGAAACAATCGACTTTTTTCTTTATGAAATTTTGAATTTGAAAAAACATGACAAACTGCATAAATTGTTAATTTTAGTTATTTGAGGTTTGAGAATGTTTTATTTGAGGGTTTTATAAATAATAATATAATAAGTGTTGTAAATTTCACCTTCGTCCAAGTAACGATTTTATCTAAGATAAAATAACCAAAGCTATGTTTATTCTTAGTTCCTGGTTATAATATAACTAATAAAACAGATAAGATCACTTTTAAAAAATATGCATTAATAAATAGTAAAAATTTTATACAAAAATATATTCTGACAAACAAAATAGAGTCAGATTTACCATATTTATGTGCTTTTTCTACTATCGCTACCAATTTCCATGTCAGTAGAGTTTCCGTTATCTGTGACAGTAGTTAATGAATAAATGCCCTCGTCCATCTCAGCGTTTGAGAATTCAATTTCATTTCTTTGAATTAAAGATACCGACTTGGAAATGAAATATTTAAGTCAATTTATATAGCCACTGATTATATGCATAATATATTTATAAACATGATTTAGCGCCATTCATAATTGTAGTATTTATATACGTGAATAAAAAGGATTTATAACAAAACATTTACATGTGACCACCAAATTACCATAATATGAATTTTTATAAGTGAATCATTTTCAGAATAATATATTATTCAGTTTTAGGGTATCATTATTATAATTTAAAAAGCTATCAAAACCAAACAAGATGTAATCGCGATGTATTGTGTTTTTATTTTTATAACTTACCGATAAATGTGTGATAAAATATGTATGTAAAATTATTAACACATACCTACCCATCTTTAGATTAAAACTCTACTTATTAAAACATCACTTAATAGCATATTTTTTTAAACATTTTCTATTGGCATCACTATCGACTGTCAAGAATATAATACAAGGCACCGGACTAAACCTTGCAAACTCACACGCAAAACTAAAGTATAAGTTTGAAATTCCTAAAGCTTGAATGATCTCAATTACAATAGAATCCTTAAATCAGGCACCTCGACCATAAATTAATTCTCAGACAAATTCAAAAACAGTAGGAGACGGTAGCACAACTTGTGCCGGCTTTGTTCCCATCGGTGTCAGCAAAACAGAAGGTGAGCGCTTTTGTGTTAGAAGTTGTAAATTTTATGAAAAGTGAAATTCCTTTTGAATGCCTGTTCGACCCATAAATAATCCCGGAACAGAAGGAAGGGTATTGTTTCTGGCACTTATTGTTTCATCAATGCGTACGTGAAGCGAAAGTGTTTTTGCTATGTCCTAATACGTTTTTGCTACCAGTACTTTTGTTATATTGTGCAAAATTAATTGTATGACGACACCTGAGTTTGGTGTCGCATTTGAGCAGCTGTCTATTTATCTCCTGACATTAGGAGCAATTTCTCTGAAGAAAATATATTAAACATTTAGTTTAATATATAATGTAGCCGATGGTTAATACTGTGCGTGTTGATTGCATTAATAACTACACAGTGTATACTTATAATTACTGATATTCATAAAAAAGCTTTGGAACCTTTTCATCGTATTAAGAAGATAATAATTATCTGTACAGAAAATTTGTATTTAATATATACTCCAATCAAATAAAAACCAAATTATAACAAATGAGCCGAGAAATGAGAAATCTGATACTTTAGACATGAACATATCAATCGAATACACTCACTTTGGTGCAAATAGTACCTGTAAAAATTTGCCATGTTGTAGATTAAGCTATCTTGTCTCTGAATCCAGTAACTTCAACGTCATATCTTACCTTACTCTTACCCTTGAAACAACAACAAGGTAATTTAGATAATTTGACATAGTCTCCTTGTAATAAAAACTTACTACATACATTTTTAAATTATTCAATTTTTCTTTTTATGAATTTACTTCTACAGTATTACTAAATGAAATTCAATATAAATATATGCTTACCAAATTGACTCCGCATCCAGGGGTATAAAGGACTCGGCAGCGACGCGTTAGTGTTCGGCGGGGGCTGTTGTGGAGGGGGTTGCTGTGCATGTATCGATTGCTGGTGCATCGGTGGCATTTGCGTCTGATGCTGCATGTCATCCACTGGGTACATAAGGTGCTGTTGGTGTGGGGGTACCCCATGCTGCACCATGTGCTGTTGGGGGTGCATATGGTGCGGCATTTGCTGCGCTTGCTCCAGTGGCGGACTGCCAGGCACTCCACCTGCTGTCGCCGCCGCCGCTTGAAGCTTACACGACGTGTAGACTGCAGGCGTCGGTGGTTGGTGTCCATTCGGGCCATACCCGTCTGATTTTGGACCCATATGGCCCATTTGAGTCGGGCTATCTGGCCGGTACCCATTTTGTTCCATTTGCTGGTAATATCCCAACCGGTCATACGGCGGAAACCTAGGGTATGGCATACCCGGCGCTGGTTGCGCGGGATAATGATGCTGCGCCGGCCTCATTTGCTGTTCGCAGCCCTCCATATCATGCCCTTGCTGTGGCACTGCGCCGTAGTGCGCGTGCGCCTGCTGGTGCTCATGACCACCTCCGTTCCTCATGTCTGGCATGTACGCGGAAGAGAAATATGTCATGCTGTCGCAGTTGTTGGCGCTCATCGCGGGCCCACAGCCCGCGCGGCTCGCGTCCGTATCTTCCGTTGCAGATTCTCGGCCTCAAGGGCCGACACTAACACCGTTATGTCACTACACAAACACTTCGGATTCCATTCACTACACGGCAGCGAACGATGTGTACACTGGGGGTTCACGATGTGCCAACGGACGGTGTCTCCTCATCAGTTCCTCGACGTATCTGAAAAGAGAGTTTGATGCACTTAGTCGATCTATAATTAAATTATTTTTCAATAGTCAGGTATTGAGAGGCAAAGATCGACCGTATGTTTGTTTTGGCGGGCCTCGTATAGTTGCGCCAGCATCATTACGCGCGGCTGCCGACCTGACGGTCGACACAGACTGACACGTGTCCTAAAGCTGGGACACACACGTAGATAAAACCTCATATGTTCCAAGTAAAACGCCTATTAGCGACAACCTGTCCGCGATATGGGCCCCCATTTACCGCAGATAACTAAGCGGCACATTCTTAAATGTGTATTCGAGATCCGTCTTTGTCTGACTGAAGGAAGCAGGTCCTCAAAAATGAGACAGGGAGATGAAATAGTGTCACGTTTTGTCTCGACATGTGGCTGACCCGCCGTCATACCCTCGACATTTCCCAGCACTTGATGGAGCATGAGTGACAACCGTACCGCTGCCCAACGACATAACTTTGTGCGGACGTTAATTTGTGTATGTGGAGAGACAAGTGCTAGAGATATCGTCGTCTTATCGTCAGATCTTGTTCTACAACTTATAATGTTGACAATTTATAGCGTAGTTAATATGACAGCTACTAGAATTCGTATACAGTAAGGTAACACGGTAAAAAAATTCAGTTAGGCAACTAAAAAAATTACAGACTATATCAGACTACTGGGTAATGTTATCGTGCAACTTCCGTAACTAGTTCATATATCATATGTCAAGCTGATTAATATGTATAGTACACATTGGTAAATAAATTGATTATTTATGTAGTACATATATATGTATTAAACAATGAATTTACTTAACAAAATAAAATGTTGTATAAACGATGAAAGGAATTTTGTGAACTCGAAACTCCGTTACAAAGTCATATCAGATTATTTTCGACATGCTTTGTTAAACGTATACTAAAGTAAAAAAATCTCAACTGCTATGTACCGACTATGTCACCCGCCCCTCGGGGCAGGCTGAAGTTATTTAAAACCCAAAAGCTCAAGCTTCATTAGCAACAGTTAATGATGGCGGCGACTCTAGACGTATATCACAGATGCTACTGTTTGCCATCTAGATGTAGATACAATATTGTTGTGGGAAAACATTTCTGTGGTTCACTGTTTAATTTTGTCATGTTGTTGTTACTACAACCAACCAGTTTTATGATTCATACTTAATAATTTTATTATGTATTTTGTTTTCTAGAGAAGCATAAAAAATAAATGTCATATTATCCATTAAGTGCCTCTAAAATTTACAGGGAAGTCTCAGAAGAAATATAGCGTCAAAACAACTATTTATTGCTAGGTATTCAGTAGCAGGCTAGCAAAATTTATGTTAATTATACATTTTATAGAATGTGGAATGGTAAACAAGCTGACGGCCTACCTGATAAAAAACCGGACAAGTGCGAATTAAACTCGTGTGGAGAGGGATCTGTACATTGATTATTTAGTATATTCGAAGTAAATTGGTTGTAATGTTGGTTGAATTCATACATACAAATATCAAGAAATGTTACTTTAAACATTTTCTTATAGGTTTTCTTGTAATGTATAGGTAAAGAACTATTACTGTATTTTTTTTTATTTTAGGCTCTGTAGTTTTAGAAATAAGAAGGAAAAAATTATCAATTTTTATCTATTTTCTTAAATAACTTCAAAATTATATCTATATATGCACATAGTTTCGAAGCAAATTGGCTGTAACCGATGGTCGGACGAGCAGACTGATCCTATTAGGGCTCCGTTTTCTCTTATGACGTATAGAACGCTAAAAAATAGTAACCGTCACCTGTAAACATAAACAGTACCTATGTCGTACCAGAATTTTTATCCCAATCTATATTTATTTTCTCATAAAGATCAAATATTGTATTAATAACCTAAAAGTTTTCCCATATAAAACCTTAATAAAACTTACTCAAAAATACACCCAATATCTATTCTTGAATATTAAATAACTAGTAATGAGATAACATACAAAACCAATGTACTTACTAATCATCATCATTTCAGTCTTTAACTGTCCACTACTAAACATATGCCTCCACCTAAAGGGGTTTTGCCAGTAGTTGCTACGCTTGGCAGGCAGAGTTTTTAGGCTTTGGAGATATTTTACGAGGAATACTGCTGCCTATCCCTCGCCCTCCCTTAGTCGCCTCTTACGACACCCACGGGAAAAGATCTATCAATTCTAACAAAATACATATTATTTCAATTAAAGATTGTTAAAACATATTCCTAAAAAAAAACATTTACAGAAAACGATCCCTATTAAATATAATTTTCTGTTTCGTAAACAAAACGAATTAATTCAGAAATTTCATAATGTCTTATCGTAATGTAAAACATTTTTATTGTTACCCCAATAGCAATAACTGGAGTTTAAAACTTTGCCAAAAAAAATTACCCTTATTTTTATAGTCTTACAAAACCAAAGCATCGCAGAGTTACATTCCCAACAGTTGTAATTAATTCCCGAACGACCGATGTAGGTACCTACCTACAATTGAAAGGCATGCCTACTCTGAAAATTTGCATGTTGAGGGATGGACAATTTAAATTTACGATTGCGACGCCCCCCACGCGGGCGACCCTCGCATTTTTTTAATTTTCAATTTTCACTTGCATTCCGACAACTATAGCGTTACTGATAGCTATGCATGTACTGGTATATAAGACATGGTGATTTATAACATTTTCCCATTGCTCCTTTTCATTTAATTTTATTGTATACTGTCGAAAATGCACTTAATGTAAATACATTTACGTAAAAATATGGTGAGATTGTATTCTTACTTATTGTGGCGAGGGTGTAAGATACTTTCTTCTATATAAATAGTCTTTTTAATCGACAGAATGAGAGGAGATAAAAGCTTTAAGTGGAACTCTAGACCAAGGTTTCTGGTAATTTTTTTTTTTTTATTTTAAATAGAGTGATGAGTGATTACCTACGTAATTAATATACTTTTATTTGCATTAAGTATATTATATAATGTACGAATTAAAAGAACATAAACAATAAATAAATGTAGGACTGCCTTACTGAAAGTTTATTATTGCTGAAAGTAATTTTTTCAAGACATCTTTTGGATAACAGTTTTTATTGTTAAACTTGTTCAGGTTGATAATAAAATAGAATAAATAATAGCTATTGCACAAATATTAATAAATTATATTATTTATTTTAATTATATTATTATTGAGATTAATAGTAATTGTTGTCTTGTATAATGTGTTCATAATAGATTACATATAAACAACATCATTAGGGTACAGTCTATGTTTTTAAAATTAAGAAACGTATAGGAATAATGCACATAGGTTATTCACCTTAATGACAAACTGAGTGACAGACAGTTATTAGAATGGCCACTTATATTTATGTAGTACATAATACAAAAAATATGTAATCTAGTTTGTTACGGTCTTGTAGCTCCCGTATCTCGTAATTATGTCAAGATTTTTATATCAAAGAAAATGGCAAATAAAATGACAACCCATTTATTGGAAAGTGATTAATCATTACTTGTGTATAAGACATTTTCTTGAATAGCACAAAATTATATCGGCTATTATACTCATACTTAAACTGTGACAATATAACTATGTTGTGTGATCCCGCCATAAAATGGGTCACCCCTTTCTTTCCCGTAGATATCGTAAGAAGAGACTAAGGGAACTTAATAGTTGAACGACGGGTAGCACTGTTCCTCTTAAAACAACAGTAAAGCCTAACTGCGGTTGACAACTCGTCTGCCAAGCGTGGCAACTACTGGCAAAACTCCCCTTATGGGGAAGACTCATATTCAGTGAACAGTTAATGGTTGATATAATAATAATGAAATATATAACTTCATTAAACTCTGTAACTAGCTACATAAGAAAATACCGTGTTATTAGATGGCTATATAAGTACAAAATACTCAAATGTATATTAGAATTCTAAATAGTTATCTGAAAAACAACTAAATTAACAAATAGAGTTTTAAGAATTAACGGACTGAAGAAACGAAGAGATATTAGCTGAAGTAGTTAAGAGCCACCCACGTAGTATCTCAATGGTAACAGTATATTGACAAATGCTGTTTACAGTGAAGCACACTCCCTTAGGTGGAGCGATAACTGCAAACGTATTAAATTCGATGGATGCAAATGGTTTAGATACATTTTGTGTAATATTAAGAATTTAGAGGGATAATTTAGCGAAAGTCAAAATTTTAGCGATAGATTAATGATTGTCTAAAATAACGTAGATTAATTTTATAAATCTTGCAAAAATATAATATATAATAAGATATTCTTACATGGTAGTTGTTACAAACTTTACTTAACATCATGATATGATTCGATTCGTACCAAATCAATCGTAACAGAAGTTTATCTAGATTTTAATTTTTATTTTTAGCTAATTTTCTAATGTTAATCCTTTAATTTCTCGGTAAGCAAATAAACAAATAATGCAATAAAGTGTAAATAAATAAATCAAAATAAATAAATAAACCCTAATTATTGTGTAATGATAAGGATTGTTATTAATTGGAACGTTAGCCTCCATTACTAGCAATATACCTTACTAAATCGACCTCCATGCGATCTCCTTCAGAAACCAGCCTGGTTAATTTCTATACCACGTGATGAGCCAAATGACCTGACTTCATCCTCACCATTTTATCCTTCACTGGTGCCCCGGCATCTATACCGTCAGTTTAGGCAGGTGCACCATTCGATCTTCATCTATCAAATCTTGACATATGTCAGATAAATCATGTGATTCGCTAGCAACAAAATGAAATAACTGTTGATGAGGATTTTTGGTTTTAATTGTAATAAATTTTAATGCATTACACATTAAAGAGGTACAAAGCACTAATAGATAATTTTCGTAATCCCCGCATTATCTCATAGTCACAATTTTAATCTGTAGAGCACGTAACAAGCTAATGTTCTAGTCCGCAATTACGAAGCAGATAAAAATCTTGCACCGAAC